TTTTGTTTGGGGGTTGTTTTTTTAGGGGGGGGGGGGTGTAACCACTTACAAATTGTGATCCACAATGAGCTTTATCTGCGCATTACCTGTTTTATGGACATAGCATTAATTCTGTTATAAAACCCTTCATCTGGCAGTTCCAGACCTGTGCCAGTCTGTATCAGACCATACAGTCGGCCTAGCAAAATCAGAAGCGTATGAATGGAGGACAAAAGATTGGACTAATCTTACTAATAGCTGCCCTGACCAATCTCCATTCATCTTCCTCTTGTAGGTTAATAGTATCCATTTCCGAGGTATTAATTGCGTATGGCTAGAGGGAAGTCGGGGTAGGGGAGAGAGAGAGAGAGAGAGAGAGAGAGAGAGAGAGAGAGAGAGAGAGTGAGAGAGAGAGAGAGAGAGAGAGAGAGAGAGAGAGAGAGAGAACAGGGAAGGGTTGAGGTTGGGTGGGAGGGTAAGGTGGGGTAATTGTAACATCAACAAACAGGCATAAACAGAAAAAGCAGACTTCATGAGAGGTACGCACAACTAAGTGCTTGTTGTTGTTTTTTATTTCTTTGTACGTTTTGCTTGGGTTTTCTTAATTCGTTTGTTTGTTAGTTTTGATGTTGTTGTTTATCTTGGTTTTTTGTTGTTGTTTTTTGGGGAGTTTTTTTGTGGTGGGTGGGGGTGGTTATTTTACTGTTTGCAGCTACCTCGTAACTCTGATTAGGGTTGGAGGGTGCTACTGGTGGGTTTTATTTCCGTATTATTCCTTTTATATCAGTCTCTACATCGTGTTTATTCCCAGAACTAAATGACCGTTATTGTGTCGTATATGCTTCTCCTCACTCACACCGATCTTGTAATTATTTAATAATAAATGTACAGCGCTCTGTCCTTTATCTTATCACTTTTATGCAGACCGAGGAGCCTTAAGGTCATTTGGCACGTATCGCCGAGCTGTGGTGACCCTATTTCCTGTTACAAAACAGGCGTTCTTGAACTGGGGCTGTTTTGTTTTTGGGGGAGGATGGTTATTTATTATATTTATTTATTTATTTATTTATTTATTTATTTTCAGTTACCAGGGAAGGGGACAGGTTGAAGCTGTTTGAATCTTTCTAGGACGGGGTGGGACCCCCTTCGGCTTATACACCTTCCACCACCCCCCCCCCCTCCTCCCCCCACAAAAAACCTCTCTTCCCTTTTGTCATATCTCCTCGGACACCCCTCACTCCACCCCACCCCCACCCCCGCCCCCTTCTATCATTATTTATCAAAATTTCGAATCCCCCCCCCCAAAAAAAGCTGTTGTCTCTATATCAGTTCCCCTTTTCACCCCACCACCCCCCCCGCCCCCC